ATGATCAAATCTGGATGTAAGGAAAGCCATTGCCTCTGTTCTGTCCTTTCAGAGTCAAGTTGCATTTCAAATTGCAGTGTAGGTATTGTATTCCTAGAAATGACTGCTTTTAATGGAAAGTGTCTAACATGTAAATCTGTAATAAGTTCATACGTAGCTTCAGAGGGAGACTTTTACCCCCAACTTCGGTGTGTACTAAGTTTCCTCAGCAGTTGAACACACTGTTGTTCACCACTGGATTGAACTGAATCATAACTAGAGATTATTAAGGTGCATTTCTTTTTGAGTATAAATGCTTCTGTGTCAAAATAATTCAGTGCTTTAGAAAATATATATAAAGGAGATTTTTAAAAAATTCCCATATAACTAGCGTACAATGTTACATTAGTTTCGGTGTACAATATAGTGATGCGACTCTCTCCATTACTCAGTGCTCATCGCAGTAAGTGTACTCTTAATCCCAAGAAGGAGATTTTTTTGGTCATAAAATTTTCCCATTATTTCTAGTCCTAGTTTTTCAGTTTCTGACTCTGTTATTCATGCACAAAGCAAGAAGCAAGAACACTGAAACATATGAACAAGACATGGCCAGCAGCACTGCCTTGCAGTTCAGAAGGGTGCACGTAACTGAGGAACGGGGAGCCATGTCGCTTGGGGTCCTGGATGTAGTGGTATCTCTGCCACCAGGGTCATATCTTGTGCTGTCCATGCGAGGTCTGGCTGAAGCCCAGCTGCTCGCACACAAATTGTGGTCTTAATGATAGTCCACTGAGTTTGTGTATTGAGCATTTAAAAAATTTTTTTATTACATGACTACATGTTTCCTCCAATGTAGAAAAGTAATCTTTGCCTTAATATTTTGACCAAGTAGGAAATATACATCTTGGATATGTACACATTCAGGGGGAAATAACTTTTTTTATGTGTAGAATAAGCTCTCTGGGAAAAGAATACATTTTTAGCTTTGCCAATGGTTTATTTGGAAACAGGCAAGCACTTTTGTGATTGTATTATAGAACCCTAATTGGACCATCCTTAAGCACCATAAATCAAACACATTAAATACTTGAAACCAGAAACAAACCTGAAGGTTTGGCCTAGATCTGTATTCACTGGGCCACATATACAGTACTTTGTTGTTTCCTAGTGTAGTTACTGAAATAGGATGCCTTTAGAATGCAAGATTACTTTTGTAAGCTTTGAAAAGTGGCATTACTTAGAACACTTGACGCTGTGCACTCTTGTCTTGAGAATCAGCTCTGACCACTGCATGACCACTCTTTGCTTTCTAACAAGTTCTCTGCTCCATTGAGTGTTGTCTTACACTCAGCACAGTCTTCTGCATGGGGGCAGTTTTAGCTCAATGTGATCATATTAGAGATGAGGACTTTGGGAGGTAAGTAGGTTCAGAAGAAGTCATGAGGGTAGAGTCCTCATGATGGGATTAGTGTCCTTGTAAGAAGGACCAGAGAGCTAGCTGCAAACCAGGGAGAGGGTTCTCATCAGAACCTGTCTGAGCTGGCACTCTGAGCTCAGACTTCCAGACTCCATGAAATGTGAGAAATAAATGTTGTTTAAGCTGCACAGTCTGTGGTGTTTGTTACAGCAGCCCGAGTTGACTGAGACACCCACTTCCACCACTGCTGTTCACTGTTATAGTGGAGTTCTAGTGAGTGCACTTAGACAAGAAACAGAAGTAAAAGGATCCAAATTGGAAAGGAAGAAGAAAAACTATCTCCCATCGCAAATGACATGATCCTATATATGGAAAATCCCTAAGGAATCCACAAGAAAGCTGCTAGAGCTGATAAATTCAGCAGAGTTGCGGGTTCCTGATCAACACAAAAATCAGTTATGTTTCTGTACCTCTGCAGATTGTTATCTGAAAAGAAATTCAGAAAGCAATTCTATTTACTATAGCATAGAAAAGAATGAAACGCCCAGGAATGAATTTAACCAATGAGGTTAAAGAATTATACATTGAAAACTGTGAATTGCTAAATAAAAGATCTAAAAAAAAAAAATCTAAATATATGGAAATATATTTCATGTTCATCAACAGGAAGACTAAATATTAAGATGTCAGTACTACCCAAAGTGATCTACAGATTCAGTGCAGTCCCTGTCCGAATTCCAGTAGCCTTTTGCAGAAATAGAAACCTGATCCTCAGATTCATATGAAATTGAATATAAATATGAGTAGCCAAAACAATCTCGAAAAAGAACAATGAAGTCGGAGGGCTCGCGTTTCTCAGTTTTAAAAACTAACTACAAAATCGCAGTAATCAAAACAATGAGGTACTGGCCTAAAGATAGGCATATAGTCCAGTGGAAGAGATGAGAGTTCAGAAATACTTTCAAAACTTGCAAAAGTAATCTTGTGTTTTAAAGGCATCCTATTCAATAACTACACTAGGAAAGTCATACATCTGGCCAATTGAGCTTTGAGAAGGGTGCCAAGTCCATTTCATGGGGAAAAGAATAGTCTCTTCCCCAAATGGTGCTGGGCCAACTAGATTTCCACATGTGAAAGAATGAAGTTGGACCCCTATCTCACACCATGTATGAAAATTAACTAAAAGTGGATCGACCTACACTTTCCCAAGCATAAATTTGTTTCCAATATCAGAAAGGGAAATTAAAGTGAACATTATTATAAAAGAATAGAGTTCTTAGGGAATAATGCATTTTTTGTGTGTATTCACTCTACAGATAAATATTTTTTTCACTCTACAGATATTTAAGCAAGAGTGACGTGACAGTGCTCTGCTTCAAGGCGCTAGAGATAGAATAGTGACCACCACCAAACTTGGTCCCAGCTTTAAAGGAACTTCTAGTCTAGAGGGGGAGTAGACATTAATAAAATAATTCCACTAATAGATTATAAAATTCCAGTTGTGATAGGTGGTGTGCAAGAAAGGGTATGTGCTATGAGGGCCTGCGCTTGGAGAAGACTTCCCGGAAGAGGGGAAGTTGGACTGAGACTAATGATGAGTAGGAATTAACTGGGTCAAGACAGAACAGGAGAGCACAGTTAGCTCCGAAGGTGTTCGGGGTGTTTGGTTGTGTTTCCACAGATGTGCACTTCACTTCCTCTTTTGTTCCTCACCCATTGGCTACAGTGCAGAGTAGCTGTTTTCTGTCTGTATGTTCCATCTCTTTCCAGAGTGCATTAGAATATTATTTAATAATTGGGCATTCACTGTGGTAGGAAGTATTTGAGTCTACTAGGGGTTAAATTGGTTTTAAGGTAAAAAATTCTGAGACAGTTAAGAGTTTTCCCTGTTTAAGTTTTTAAAGAAAATCTGTCTTATTTTTAACCTTCAATGATTAAATAATGACATTGTTAGGTGGCTACTTTTAGATAAAGTATGATAAATAATGCCTTCATAAATTATGCTTTTCGAATCTGTTTATATTTTGATTTAAAATAGGAAGTTTTTTTCCCAGTAATTTAAGACCTCATTTTGAATGGAAGTGATTTGAATGGCTTAGGTAATTTCTGCCAAGGAATTAATATGGACTTTCTCTAAACCACTGTCATTTATAATCAAAATGCTTTTAACTTACATTGATGTTGGCATTAACAAGTACTGCTAGATTGGTAGCATAGAAAGAAATTGCATTTAAACTTACTAGGAGCTCATTGATGCCTGAGGTTTTATAATGCTTTCTGTGGGCCATTTAACTGCTGGCAACTTTAATTCACATGATTCATAATACTAAAAATTTAAATTCACTCTTAATTGAAAAGTGAAGTTACTTAAATTCTTTAAATACTAACCTTTGGAAAAATATCTGAAAAATAAAGACACATATGATTTTAGTGGCCCGCTGCCAAAAGATTATCATTTACATAAATATCTCTTTCAGTAGAAGAGCTTAATGTATTGAGCTCAAAAGGTTAAAATCGAGCCTTCAATCTGGAAACCAGCAGTAGACTGTTGGCTTGTGAACAGCAGTATTGTTCATCATACTGAGAACACTGTTCACATTCAAGTTTAAGCAGAGCTGGCATTGAAATTCAGTTAATTTGTTTCATGTGACTTGTCAGCTGTGTGTTTTTATCTAAATCTTTGTAGCCTCTCTTCTTAGTATTTCATGTTAAACTCCTCAAACAGATGAACTACCTTTTTAACTGTTCAAGTTCTGAAATTTTGGCCACTTCCGCAAATGATTCTTTGTAACCATTCTCCAAGGTTTTCATATCATTTAAACCATATTAATAATCGGTTTGAATGCCATTCTAATCTATAAGAGTAATCCTATTTCGGAGGGCTTTTCTGTTTTGTATATATGTGAGTGAGTCTGTGAGAGGGACTCCCTGAAATTCATGAAGACAAAATTGCTCTTCTTATCTTCTCACCAGCATGCTCTTCTCTTCTTGTTTGCTAATTTTGTTCTCTGGATTTTCCCTCAGATGGCTTTTAATATTTGGCTACCAGCCCAGGATTGGGTCTGAGCAGTGAAGAAATAGAGAATAAGACCTTTTTTGAAAAAGGAAAAACCTGTACTAACTTTTTTCTACTTTATGTAATTTATTTAAAAATTATTGTTTATTTCTTCTCTTCTTTGCAAAGAAAGAAATGTGGTATCCCATAATAAGCACGGAGTCAGAACCAGTCAGCTTGTCTTGCGTGCTTGCGTGGCTCTAGGCAGGCTGCCTCGTTTGTGTGAGGCTCACTCTCCTCGTGTGTAAAATGGCAACTCATTTAATTTGCACAGAGTGGTTCTCACCAACATGTGAGTGCCTAGGATATATTGCTCTCCTTCCTGTTTCCTAGCTCCAGTCCTGCCTTAGGCCAAAGGCTGACCTCACACTTATTATCTTAGTAATTTTGTAGTGTATGTACCAGTTTTTTTTTCTTAAGAAAATTTTTAATGAAAACAAGATGTATAATGTGTTATTTATTTTCATATATAAATTTTAAGGTACATGTGGAATTTTCCTTTCTGATACGGACAGTAATGACCTTTTTTCATTTGTTTCCTGTTTGAAGAATATCAAAGAATATTCCAACAACTAAAGATGTTGAGCCACTGCTAGAAATAGATGGAGATATAAGAAACTTTGAAGTGTTTTTGTCTTCAAGGACCCCAGTTCTTGTGGCTCGAGATGTAAAAACCTTTTTGCCATGTACTGTCAACCTAGACCCCAAGCTACGGGAAATTATTGCAGGTGGGTAGTCGTAGTGAATGTGATTTGTCTTCTCTGGTCTTCAGGATGTTTTGCATTTCTAACTTAGCTATGTGAGTTTGTCTTGCTCCATGAAAAACCAAGAAGTACCGAACCAAGCACTACACAGGACAGTTAATGAAACTGAGGATTAGGAATCTTGACCTCCTTTAGAGACTGCTAAGAAAATGTCACTTGTAAAACCACCTTATCGTAATGTTTCTCAACCCACATACCTGACTTCTTTGCAATCAGATTCCTTTTAAGAAACAGTCAGCACTGTAAGATGTCAGTCCATTATAATTTTTCTGTGACTAATCTTAATAGGGGTCTCTATCTGAAAGGGCACAGATATCCTTATATTACTTGATAAATTTTAACTTAAACTTGTGGACTGGAACTTAAGGATGGTGACATTAAAGTTCTGGAATCATTTCTTTTGTTCTTGAACCACTGCTGTATGCGCACGCACACACACACACAACCGTTCCTGAAACACACTATCTGCCGTGTGGCACTGCTGACCCGCCGTTGAGTTTCCTTGAGTTTCCTGAGAGTTATGAAGAGAGAGTTTCAGTCTACTTCTGCTTTCTTTTTTAGGTACCAGTTTTAAGGCTGATATCAAGGTGTATTTTGTGGCTATGGAATTGTTTTGTTCAGAGAAGGATAAATCATACAGTTTGCACACCCACAGTTTAGCAATCACTGTATTTATTAGTATTAGACCACTGTGAGTTATTAGTAGTTATTATTCATAACGATTATTTAATAATCGTTATGAATAATAACACCTTATGGATCATAACCACTGTTAGAATAGCACAAATACCTTAAATAGTTAGAGAAAAAATATTACTGTTCTGGTAACTGAAGAGAAGAATCCAGATGTTGGTGACTTTTCAAATGGTGAAAAAAGCTTTTATGCAAAGTAGTTGAGTTTTTTCTCACTAGAATGTCTATGAACAAGATTTTTATGAGTCAAGATTTCCTGTCTCCTTTAAGTCAGTTGGAATCCTTGGCAAGAGTGGAAAAAAAGCATGTTTCTATTTGATAACTAAAGGAGGACGTGATAGCTGGACTGATGACTGAAGTCCTCTTTTCTTTTGTCTTCTGGGGTACCGTTTAATCTTTCAGATGTTCGTGCTGCGAGAGACCAGATTAATATTGGGGGGCTCGCCTATCCTCCACTGCCTCTTCACGAAGCTCCACCTAGACCCCCGTCAGGCTATAGCCAGCCCCCATCTGTCTGCTCTTCTTCCACTTCCTTCAATGGACCGTTTGGAGGTGGGGTTGTGTCACCACAGCCTCACAGCAGCTATTACAGTGGGATGACAGGACCTCAGCATCCGTTCTACAACAGGGTAAGGAAGTGCGAGGAATCTTTCGTTCTAAGAATTTGTTTGGGGGAAATACCAGAAGTTTTCTGCTGTGGAGTCTGTTATTGTTTTGAAACTGCACATTAGTTTTAAAATAGGAAAAATGTTAAGTTTGAATTTAAAATACATGATTTTGTGCAAAAATAATGAATACTGTTATGCTGAAAAAAAATACATGATTTTTTTAAAAATAAAAAGAACTTTTAACTTTAATGGGGTCTAAATCTCAGCTGAGTCTCGAATGTTAGAGATGCTTTTTGCTTTTTTAAGGAAGTGAACTCCACGGGTCATCAGTGACTATCCTGTGCCACAAAGGGAGCTGTTTCTCTATTTGTTCATAAACAGTGTTCCATTTGTTATATTTTGCATAATTATATTGGCATTTAGAACAATGATTTAACTTCAAACTTAAATTTCCACTGTATTCAGTAAATCTATTTAATATGTGTTACAGCTTTTAAATGTGAGATTATGATAGAAGATACCACTTGTAGGATTCAGATGTTATTGCCAAGTAATAGCACTGTAGCCATTTCTGGAGTTATATTTCAGGTTATGTGCAGTCGTGCATAATTATTTACTTAGTATAAATGTGATCATTTTCTACTGCAAAGGGTGGAAGTACAGTGATCGGTAATATACAGACCCTATCAAGTTTAGTGGCCTGAGCTATACCCATCCTACTGATCTTAAGCACTAATATTTCCTACAGGATATTGGAGTATGAGCCCTAGTATTATACTTTCTGGAACGGTACGCTAAGGTCCATTACTGTTTCTTATTTTTGTTGTCTCCCTCTTTAGTCTAATTTGAGAAAAACGTAGGGGTTAGTGTTCACAGAAGCCAACTGCACGCCTAAGGAAATGTCACGCGAGCTAGGAAGAAAGCAAAGTTTAGAGTAAATGTGGCAATGAAGAAATTCCAGAATTTAAATTAAATTTTCAGGTTTTGAAAAGTGTTGGCCATATAAGTACAGTTGACCCTTGAACAACACAGGTTTGAGCTGTGTGGGTCCACTTTTACACAGCATTTTTAAAACAATTACAGTACAGTATTATAAATGTGTTTTCCTTATGCTTTTCTTAATATTTGCTGTTCTATAGCTTACTTTATTGTAAGAATACAGCATATAGTGCATAAACCCTATAAAATATGTGCATTTGACTGTTACTATTGTCGGTAAGGCTTCCCGTCGCCAGTAGGCCGTTAGTAATTAAGTTTTGGGGAAGTCAAAAGTTATTTTGACAGATTTTCGACTACACAGTTTTGGGGGTGGGGGGTGGTGGGGATCAGAACTCCTCACCCCTGTGTTGTTCAAGCTCAACTGTAATTAGGGGCACTCTTCATAGAGGTCGTATGAATGTTATTCTATTCTTTTATTCAGACAAGGAGAAAAAGGTGGAACAATAGCATTTTATAATGTATTCCATCCTTGTAAAATTTAACTATGTGGTAGACAGTGTTGAAATGCAGGGTTTTATTTAGCAGTCTTAAAATCTGCTGTAATTTTACATAAAATGGCTCATTGATCGGTAGATGACAGTTGAGGTTTTGAAACCAAAAAATTACTTATTTTTTTAATTTACCATACCATCAGGCTGATGTGATGCTTTAAGAGTATTTTATCATTTTAAAAACACTTAACATTTTCTCATGTTTTTAGATCTAGTTATTTTTTTGTTCTAGTTATTTGAGGTTCTTAGTCTGAAAGTTAAAAGGGGAATAATTTTCTTAAATGGCAGCAGTAAAAAGGTATGGGAAGATGTTATTTCAGTGTAATGAAGCTTAATGAGTTTTAATCTTTATGTTTAGCACATATAATCTCATACCTCCTGTTTATGTGAAGTTGGCTACAAATAAATGCCGGAGTTATAAATCTCGCTCAACAATGGATTCCCCATTAAAAAAACACACCTTATTTAGGAGATACACTCTAGGGCATAGGATATAAAGTGAGCTCTGGGAACTTAGAGTAATAATATTCCTGGAATCCATGCTAGGGTGTTCTCATATATATTAAGACTTTTTTTGACTTTCTTAAGGCTAATCTTTTTTTGAAAAGAATGGTATTAAGAGTCCATTTTGCTTATTTTTGTTGTTGTTGTTAAATAAATTGTGAGTTAATATTTGTAAGTCACTTAGGAACTGATACATGGTAAGCCCATAAAAATGTTAAGGAAAAACTCTTGTCAGACTGTAAGGTATGAAACTTTAGTTGCTTAAAAAACCTTATATTAAATCAACAATATGAAAATTTAAATACTGGGTCTCAAATTTGGGTTTGATATCTTAGAGACTATAAGTAAGGCTCTTTTTCTTTTGTTTTGTCACTTGCATTATTAAAAATTTGGAGTTGTGTTTTATTGGTTAGTTTCATTTGATAAATCTCATCACACTTTGATTTCTGTAATTGTTTATCCCCTTCTTTTGTTACGTGTTTTTTCCATAGCCATTCTTTGCCCCCTACCTTTACACGCCAAGGTATTACCCTGGCAGCTCCCAACACCTCATCTCACGTCCATCAGTAAAAACGAATTTGCCCAGAGATCAGAGCAATGGCCTAGTAAGTATAAAAAAGGGTAACTAAAGTATTAATCTAATAAGACACACAGACAGCAGTAGAAGTTTGGTTATTTCCTTTCTGTAACAAAAGAATGCAACTTACTTTATAAATAGTCTTAAGACAGATAAGCTCTTACTAACATAAAATGTATTTTGTTTTCATTTCTGGCAAATGTCTATGGAAGGAAAATGACTAGCGGCCTCAGTGAATAAATGTTGAGCTGTTTACAACCAGAGTTTCTGGCTTAGAGTTCAGTGTCTGTTACCAAAACTCTAAAAACTAAACCTTTACATTTGTTAATTTCTAATATCTTTTTACAAAAATATACATACATGGTATCTGTGTGTGTGTGTGTGTGTGTGTGTGTGTGTGTGTGTATTTATATATATGTATGTATGTTAGCCCTATGGTATAAAAATTCGAGGGTATATTGGAAGAGCATTTTAATTTAAAGCAGAAATTAAATAGAATTAGGGAATTACTTAAACGTATGATTGACTCTAATCCAAAACAAAATACATTGTAAAATATTATGTGTTCCTGATGGTCAGCTTAGTTTAACAATTCACAAAAAGAAATTTCTTGTTAATATATTTTTACACATTAGAAGGTAAAAGCTATAGAACTTAAACTGTTATTTCAAATTTAAATGTCACTAGGGGAATCGACTCATAGCCAGGTTTCAGTGTCGTCTGTGATCATGTCAGCATCGTGTTCATTCGTCATCCTAGTTTGCCCCCCTCACCTTTCACCCATGCTCTTGTTTTGTGTTGTTAGGAGGTTATCAAGGAGGATGCTGCTGAGGGGCTTCCTTCACCCACAGACTCCTTGCGGGTAACGGAGTAGTCTTGTGGTGGGAACACGAGCCTGTCATCGCTTCTGCAGCCTTAACAACTGTCCTAGTTGTGGTGACAGCAGTCCCCTAACTCTGCGTCTGTGCTGTTGTGGCCACTAGCGTAGAGTAGCTGATACTAATCGTTATAGTTCATGGATTAATTTAAAAGCTAATGTTTAACTTTACACTTTATTTCCTCCAGTTTTTCCCCTTTTTCAATGACGTGGGATGGGCTCTTTTTTTATTGTCCAAGGGCAGGATTTTTCTAGCAGCCTTCAGGAGCAGTCAGTAGGTGGCATATGTTCCTTAGTGTTGAGCAATATTTTCACCTTTGATTATTTTTCTTAAGCCGACAGTTGGTACTGCACATGTGGAATACTTTTGAAAGTATCCAAAATCACCCTCAAGACCACAGAAGGACATTAGAAGCTCGGTGGTGTAGACCAGAATGCATCTGTAGTGACGCAGCCTTAATCTGGGTGTCCACAGTTAGTGAAACCCCAGTGTGAATGTAGTGCTATTTTTCTTGACCTGTATTTTTATTAAAATAAAATTGCTAGGTAAACAGAGGTAGTTTATTATGTAAAGGGAATTATTTAAACCTTTTTGGGCCAACACCTTAAAGTGGAGTTTCTTAAAAAAAATTGTACGGGAAATCATTCCGTATATTTGTTATTCAGGACTTTGTATTTAATAAGAAATATGTTTACTGTGTTGAGCCTTAAAATCTTCATTTACTCAATATGGAATTTAGGAACCCAGTTTGTATTTTACCTTCTTTTGATTTATTTGCAGAATGTTATGCCCATGTGGACATGATCAGTTTAATCTAGAGCTCTGCTAAAGTGTGGCTTGACAGAATTAACGTGGGGGAAATACTACATCCTGAGCTTATCTGTAACTTTGAACTTAAAACATGCATTTGGGTAGGCAGTAGTTTTTAAATTTTAATTTTCTTTGAGTTAATGTTAGTAAGAGAGGAAAGAGAACCATTTTGGTGTTTTCATTGAGGAGTTGATGATTCCTTTTAAGTCATTAACATTTCAGCTGAAGTGTTTGAGTGACTCCAATTATCCAGGAATAATAGACACAATAAACCATAATAATTCTATTTGGGTGTTGGGGGAATCTTTAATGCGTGGATCATTGCCACTATATGCAAGAATGACTTTTAGTTTAGTCAGCCCTTCATACATACATTCATGCATGTAATGCAATTCTCTAAGCTAAAATTCCTTAGCAAACTTTTGATGAAAATCAGATACTGTGAAGAATTTGATTGGTCTTAATGACACAGACATGCTAGAATAGTAGCTATTCCTATGCTTGAGTATGTGGACAAACACTTGTAATTAGAAGATATCTGTAGTTTCTTTCAGGGACCAGTGAAGGAGCATTAAGCAAATTTGAAATGAGTTTTTGGGGAAGGGGAAATAATGCAATTCTTGTGATGTGTTTAGAAACCCAATAACAAAGGATAAAGGTGCTCTGCATATATTAGTGCCTTTGTTTAGTGAAATAACCGTACTATTTGCTCTCTTTTTAATATTAAAAGATAGTTTTGTGATTGGCTTAGTGAATAATAAGTGCTTACCAAGCTTTCTTTGCTTTTAAGAAATTAACACTGACAGTAGCATGTAAAATTTGTTTGGTAGAAGACTAGTAAAAATAGACACTTAGTTCAAACCCAGATCAAAAGCAGTGGTGGAAATGTGAAGTATCTGTACTTGGAAACATTGTCTAGGATTTTTATAGCTGAACCAACACAGAAGTAGTTAATATAAAAATTATTTAACCCTTCGGAGCTCATATGGCTTTCCAGTCCTGTGGTAGAAAGTTTTGTATTTCTGAGATAATAGGATTCTGGGTCAGGTCTGTTTGCTCATTCAGCTGTCCCCCCATATGCAACAGCTGATGATAAGAGCTGCTTATAGATAAGTCAGGAGCTACACGAACGCTTTTGGATAAATTGTCATTACAGACACAAAGTAATGAGTAAAAATAAATAAACAATACCACCAATAAGAAGAAGACCATAACGAGTTAACCAACTGTTATTTTCAACATAAGTGGTCCCATCTTTTTTTACCACAGGGAATTCTGATAAACCTTTAAAAAGTAGATTCTAATGAAACAATTGGGTTTTCTCACATTAAGGAACATTGTCATGAGTATAGCTTGTGAAGGCCAGCCAAGGACTTCCAGATAAGTTATAGGTATGTCCAGGTGTTTCACAACAGTGAAGAGGTAAAATACAAGACTCTATGCTAACTTTAAAAAACAATTTTATGTAGAGAAAATACATGCCAAATCTTATAAAACTGGGGAGGAAGATTAACACTGGACCCAAGATATGTTCCCCAGAAATCAGAGCTCGAATGGACTGTGGTTTTCAAACTTTTAAAGCAGAGAAGTTTTTTTCAGAAATGAAATACTAATTAGAACTCTAGTTCATAAAACCAGTAAAAGTGCAGGTGTGGCCCCCACCCTGGACTTGCCTTCCCTTTTGAGGGGCCGCAGGAGCACTAGGACCCGTGGCCTCATTCGGCTCCACAGTGCAGAACTTTCAGGACTGGGTCTGAGAGACTCGTCTGAGGTGCACAGGAGGGGAGTGCCCGATGTGGGGCCAGAGCTACTTGCCCGTGTCACAGCCCATTCCTCAGACCGTGCTGCTTTCTTCGCCCCTGTTAACACTCAGCATGCCTTAGCCAGGTGTTCGATCTGAAGTCCCATAGACCCTACCCTGGTGGCTAGCGCTTTGCCTTGGACAAATTACTTAACCTCCTCGATGCCCAACTTCCTCATCTGGAAAAAGCAGACCTACCACATAGGTCTGATGTAAGGATTACTCAACTTTAGGACACTTTCAAGACTTAATTATTATTATTATTACTACACCAAGGCCAAATTTTATGGAGCTTTAAAGACTCGAACTAAAAGTGTTTCATGTTAAATTACCTGTCTCAGTAGTAGGAGTAGTGTACAGATACACCAGTCAGTGTAGGTTAACTCTGCCTTTCATCTGCTGATGCTTCTGTTGGTTTGCTTTCTTAGAATTTAGAAGGATTTCTGGGCTATTTGAGTGCTCCAAATACTTTAAAGTTGTGACTGCTTTCCAGGGAATGTACGTGGTGCCTGTGCTTTCTTTCAGTCCAGGTCCCGCTAGAAATAATGGCATCCGAGCATCTGTGACCATGAAGGGGAGGACCAGTGGGGAGGGCTTCTCTCAGGCCAGGGAGCCTCTGTGGCATTCTGGTATGGTCTTCCAGAGTTGCTCTTAGCAGTACTGGAGTCGGTTTTTATCTAAGTTCTGCTGCTCATGGTGGAAACCGTATTTCACTGAAAAGCAGTCCTTCAAAAGTAGGAACGATACAGCATTTCTTTCCTTCTTATCCTTCCTTGAATTACTTAGCGCTGAGTTCTACAGGTCCCTGTGTGATCGCTTACTGGCTCAACAGATCTGTTGAGTGTCTACCGGGCACCATCCTGGTGGCACACAGCAGTGGACAACACTGATGAAACTCCTGCCCACATCGAGCCTTTGAGTTCAGAGGCTGCCAAGGGAATTCTCTGGGCTCCGAAGTCAGTCATTCTCAGGCTTCTGTGCCACAGATTTACTCGATACCTTCAGGCAGCTGTATTTAGATGACTTACATACCGCACTGAAAAGTCATGAAAAATTGGGGTGCCTGGGTGGCTTAGTCGGTTAAGCGTCTGCCTTCGGCTCAGGTCCTGATCTCAGGGTCCTGGGATTGAGCCTCACATTGGGCTGTCTGCTCAGCGGGGAGCCTGCTTCTCCCTCTGCCTGCTGCTTCCCCTGCTTGTGCTCTCTCTCTCTGGCAAATAAGTAAATAAAATCTTTAAAGAATTAATTAATTTTTTAAAAAGGCATGAAAAGAATTAGTACTCAGTATTATTGTGAAGAACTTCAGAAGTGCAAAGACAGAATTAATGACAGTATCCTTATTTCCCGCGTGCCGTTAGAGATCAATGAAAATTGATGAATTAATAAAGGTATTAAAAATGAAGGTCTTGGTTTTCATGAAACTGGATGCAGTTGGCAGAGTAGCTATAAGTAAGCAAAAAGAAGAAGAAAAAGTAAAGTAAAAAAAGATGGGGCTGAACTGTAGATAATTTTTATTTCCACCACTGGCTTAGAACTTTTAACCTGTTTGCAAACAAATGTATATCCAAATCAAGCTGTTTCTCATTGTTCAGGAGCAGAGTTGGACGAGAAAGTTAAAGATGCCTTGGGTAAGAAATGGGCTCGTTCTAGGTTTTGTTCAGGGTGTAGGATTTGGACACACACTCGCGGCCTCCTCTCAGTGGCTTTTCTCAGCGTCATTCACACTTTCTAAAGTATATTAGAAATGTGTTTTTATTATTCTGTTTCAGTATGGAAAAGTATTAACTTATTTTTACTTCCATGATATAGTGAAAAATTGTGTGCACTTTGGGCTTGAAAGTCTTTGTGCCAGCCTCAAACTCAAGAAAACTTTTCTCCCTAAGCAATTAATAAACTGGCACAAAATTGATGGGAGAGATTTCCACAGAAATATATTGCAGTAACGAGATCACAGACATCCTAGAGTACAATTAGAAGTTAAAAAATAGCAATCACATTCATTGCAGTTTTAGTACTTTTTTTTTTAAGATTGCCCTAAAAGGTAGGTTAAGCCTCATCTGTTAACTTTGACCTCATTATTATTTCTCTTGTAATTTGAAGAATAAGTTATATTTTCTAACTAGGTTGACAGTAGCTTTCTTTTGTGTTTCTAGTATCTTAGACTAAGCTGGCATTTCATTAGGACTCCTTTTTGATATTTTTTTCAAGTCTTCACAAATATATAGAGAGATACGTGGTAACTTTCTGCAAATCCTATTTATGAGGTAAATTAGAAAGCAAGGTTTCCATTAGGTACAGCAGATACTGAGTAGGTCAGAAGGAGAACATCTGACATTAGGCTAGCAAACAGCAAAGCCCTGTCCTTTACTGAAACTATGACTCATGGAACACTGCATCAAAAACTGATGTACTGTATGGTGACTTACATAACAATAAGAAAATAAAATAAAAATAGTCGTATTGATTAAAAAAACCCAATATTGGAAACTAATTTTGAATCAATATTGTCAGTCCTCTGTAGATTAGTTTAACTATTTAACAGTTTTTGCCACCAGCCTAATGGGTACCTAATTCCGTGCCTAATGGGTACAGAAAAATGGCATCTGCTTTGAATTGGAGCTTTTTAAAAATCTCCATCACTAAAATTAGTTATGTTAATCATGGTATGCAGATATTTTTCGCCGATATAGCGTAAAGCCATAAGGCTGTTAAGGCCTTTCTTTTCAGATGCTGTTTTAATGTATCTCTCATGTGCCAAATGCCCAATGAAACAAAACCCAAGTGTGAAAAGTAGGTTTCTGAGCATTAAGTGTAGGGTGGCTAGATAACAGTTCATTTTATGAAGTGATCATGTGAATTCCAAGTGCTTGTATTCTTATTAAATTGGTTAACTTTAGCTGTAGTGTTTTAATCAGAATATTTAAATGTTAATTTTATGTTGGTATGTGGTAGAAAAACTGACTTTTAGAGCAAGTTTTATTTACTCCGTTTTCTTGTTGAATGTATGGCCCATGCGTCATTCGTTTAATGGGAAGACTATGAATTTTGAGAGTACAATGATAAAGTTACCAAGCACGTGTTAATGACATTAAACTACTGTATGTGTGTGTGTGCGCGCACGTGCACAGCTGCGTGTGTTCCTTGCCCTGTGCTGCTGCAGAAGTGGTGTGTTCAAAGCTACAGAAAGTCTGAGGAGTGACAAGCGTGGCGCCTGTGTTTATTACATGTGCCTGTTTGATGTTTTACTTAAGCTCGTTTCCTTCATTCTGTTTTATTCCTTCCTTAAAGCCGTGTGACTCTGGGTTTAACAAACAAAGACAGGTACAGAAATTTTCAGTGAAATCTTACTCACGTTTCTTATTAGACTATTAGAAGCAATCATTGGCACTTTCACGCTGGGCTGTTGATAAAATCGGTGCTTATTTCAGTGCCTTGGGTTTATGTTCATAGCTGCTTTCAGCCTTTGCACGGCATGCATTCTGGCTAACCAATGCTAAGCTTATTTCATAAATTTACCGACATGGTAATGTTTCAGAGCGTAGTTATAATCTACTTACAATATGAAACAATACACTTACATCAAGGTAATTCTAGTCTGTTTTGTTATCTTTGCTTTTTCCTGAAGAAATTCTGATTTGTATGCATTTTGAAGTTTATATTTAACAGTTTAAACAAACTAACATCTTCTGTTTTCAAATATCTGCATTAGAAATTTTTTAAAAATAAATTGTGTTATTTGCTGAGATGATCTGTTCTAGGCTTAGAGCAGGTATATTTCAAGTAAGAATGCATGATAAACTTGAATGTATTACCAGTCTTTGTATTGTCAAAGTAATATAATTAGTTTTCTAGTAATTTACCTGTTGAATTATTAAGTATGCTTTTTTTTTGTATCACTTTACTTTTTCACCTTCCTTTGATGAGATTTCCACCCAAAAATCATTATTTTGGTTACTGAGATTGATTTGGTTTCAGAATAGTTGTATTATATGTGATTACTTGAGGAAAGACCTGGCAGATAATTACCAGTTCTCCTACTCAAAGAAGCATATTATCACATATTTTAATTTATTGATAATTTACTCTTTATCTTGGTATAGCCCTACTTAAATCTAGTCAAGAGTCAGATGATAGCTTTGATGGAATTACAGGGATCTTATGTTCCTGTTTGTCTATCTTATAAAACTTTAAGTCATTCGGGGAATATATATTTTCTACATAATCCCCAACAATAAGTTGTGGGTTTTTTTTTTTTTTGAGAAGTTATGTTTTCAAATAATTGATAAAGTACAAGTGTTTTAAAGTTATATGGAGCTTTCCCTTTCGAAGGACGAGAGAAGTATCAGTCAGCAGGTCTCTCTTGCTGAGTTCCCAGATTCCCTGTGGAAATAAGATACTCTAAAAGTTTACATTTCTCCTAAGCTGGCAGAGTTAATTTATTCTACGCCTATTATACTTTTCCTTTTCAGCGCTGTCAGAAATAGAGTTTTTTGGGGATTAAAAAAAAAAAAACTTTAAAATAATTTTAGACTTAGAAAAGGTACGAAAATAGTACTCTCTTGATGTTAACATCTTTCATAACTAGTATACTGTTCAAGAGCAGAAATTAAAGTGGTACGATTGTGTTGACTAACTATAGATTTTACTTGAATTTCACCCATTTTTTCCACTAATGTAATTTTTCTGATCCAAGATCCAATCCAGTTGTGTTTGGTGCTAATTACTTCTTAGAGTTCTCTGGTCTGTGACAATCCCTTGGTCCTTCCTTGTCTTTTGTGACCTTAATTACCACTCTTGAAGAATACTGGTCAGATGTTTTGCAGACTGTTCCTCTACTTGGGTTTGTCTTTGGAGGTTATAGTACCTCTCATAAGAGACCCACAGGAATGATGTGATGCCCTTCTCCGCACGTCCTTATTAGTGCTGGGCCGCTTCTTACCGCTGGTAATGCTGGTAATGCTGACCTTAATCACTTGGTTAAGGTGGCGTCTGCCAGATTTCAACACTGTGAAGTTTTACTTTCTCCTTTGTAATGAATAAATATCTTGGGAGAGATACTTTGACACTCTGCAAATAACTTGTTTCTGCTTATACTTTTACGCATTAATTTCAGTACACGTTGAGGTATCTTATGTACAACCGCTATGACTGTGGTGGTTTCTTCATGGTAATTTTCTGTTTCCTTCCACATTTATGAATCCAACTCTATAAGGAAAAGCTGTCTTTCATTCTTCATTTATTCAATTATCTGTTTTCACTTATTCAGATATTTCTTTACATCATTATGGACTCGTTCTATATAGGATAAGTTATAATCCAGTATGATAATTATTTTGGTGATCAAACTGTTCATTTGTTGTTTTTGAATGAAGAATATCTTAAGTAGAAATGTATCCAGAGAGAAGAGACAGGTTGAGGAATAAGAATATTTGGAAGGCAGTATTAAAGATCATTTAAAAGATAAATATTATTCAGCAATACAAAGGATGAAGTGCTTGTACATGCTATCACATGGCTGAACCTTGACATTATCCTACATGAAGGAAGCCAGACATAAAATGTCACATGTTGTATGGCTCCATTTATAGAAAATGTCCAGAACAGGCAAGTCTGGAGACAGAAGGATTCCCTAGTTGACAGGGGCTGGGAGTGGATGTTGGAGGGATGGAGAATGACTGCTAATGGAGACAGGCATTTCGTTTTAGGGATGTGAAAATGTCATAAAATGAATTGGGGTGATGGTTTTATAACTCTGCAAATATAGTAAAAACTATTGAATCATACACTTTAAAAGAGAGAATTGTAGGGTATGTGAATTATAACTCAATAAAGCTGTTTAAAGGAAAGGAAGATAAAACAAGTTTGGTTATTAAAAATTCTTACAAAGGATTTTAAATTTCCATTGTAGATACTGAGGAATTATACCTTGAATATTGGCTATATCATTTAGTCAGAAAATCGAACTATGATTAGGGATATGAAAACTAAATTATGGAAATACTAATGTTTTGCTCTTAGTATTTTTGAAGCAGTGTAGCTTGGACCATATAATATATGGCATATTTAAAATTTATATTTCATTAAAAACAAACTATGACTAAAGATGTTTGGTACAGGATATTCCAAGTCATTAATTTCTATACTTTTCTGGGTCCGTCTCATACTTGTGAACTTGCTGAGATTCCCTGTCATAAAATTGATGCTACAGTCCCTGTTCAATATGGTCCGTTCCCTAGCTGCATCTATATGTAATACTGATGTACATTCTGTATGTACTATTTGTGTATATATTTATTTATCAGTTCTTAAGACAGCATCATTTATGCTTTCACATTACAAATAAAGTTTAACAACTGGCTTCTAGCCATTTTTTTTTTTAAGATTTTATTTATTTATTTGACAAGGACATCACAAGTAGGCAGAGAGGCAGGCAGAGAGAGAAAGAGAGAGAGAGAAGCAGAGCTCCTGATGCGGGACTCCATCCCAGGACCCTGAGATCATCACCTGAGCCGAAGGCAGCGGCTTAACCCACTGAGCCACCCAGGTGCCCCGAGGCCATTTTGGGTGTGTTATGGTGTACTTTTGTCCTGTTAATGGTAAAAGGTAGAAAATACAAATGTACACATCCTTGAGGATAGGATAAGTTTTACTTATTTTAAGATCAGATTGAACGGTGAACAGGGCAGATCATTTGGAACGTTGTCATTACCTGCTACGCTGGTTGGCTTGTCTTCTGTCCATTGTGGCTCTAGTTTCTTTACACTTTTCAAGAATAGACTGTTAGAACAAGGAAAGTAGGAAGTTGTTAAGAACTGCTAAGTTAGGCTTCTGGCCCAAATCTTCTACTAACCAACTATTTATTCTGTGACTTTGAACCCAAAATTTAACCTCTTTAGACCTCAGTGTCCACATCCGTGAATGAGGTGGTCCATATGTAATGGACCACGGGGCAAATACTTCTGTAGTATGTCACCACATTCAGAAAACATTTTTCTTCTAAGTAAATACTAGATTATTTATTGTTGTGATTTTTCTTTTAAATGAGACCAAATTTTAATGGATTGTATTTACTTTTACATGTGTTAAGAAGTAATATTGTTTTATATTTATATGTTTATTGTATAGATTCTTTTTTTTTTAAAGATTTTATTTATTTATTTGACAGAGATCACCCAGGTGCCCCTATTGTATATATTCTTAAAGGGAAGTTTTAAATTCCTTGGATATAAAATATGATCAGGATCTGAAAACTTTAGCTGTCATTGATTATTCAGGTAGTACTTAGAGACATTTAAAGTTGTTTACTATAGGGGCGCCTGGGTGGCTCAGTGGGTTAAAGCCTCTGCCTTCGGGTCAGGTCGTGATCCCAGGGTCCTGGGATCGAGCCCCACATCGGGCTCTCTGCTCAGCAGAGAGTCTGCTTCCTCCTCTCTCTGCCTGCCTCTCTGCCTACTTGTAATCTCTGTCTGTCAAATAAATAAAATCTTTAAAAAAAAAACTGTTTACTATAGGCACTTAAAAATTATTTCATAGATTTTATTTTTGCATTTTGTATTTTTGTAATATAGGCATCAGTAATTTTCCCTCTTTGTTCCTTTTTTTTTAAACCCCTCCTTAAGGGCTGTACCCTATTCTTCTGTAGTCAGGCTGTGAACATTTGATAAGTTAGCCTGTGCTTGATTCATGGAATGTTTTGTCTTCTTAGAAAAATGGTTGTGATCAGGCTGTATTTGCTATAATACAAGCTACTCCTTAAAGTAAAACAGTAGCTAAATCTATCCCTTAATGGCATTTCCCATACTACACACATTTGCTGTTTTTAGCTTTAGTCTGAAAGTGTGTTATTAATCAGAGTACTTCACTGTGCAACTCCGCGAGTGTTTCTCTCTCATGTGCTTCGTGCATCTGGCACTAAATGCTGTACTCTTCCGTGGCTCATCTAGGGGTCAGGCCCAGCCTCAGGAGCAGCGGTATCACTGAATTCAATGAATGTGGATGCAGTATGCGAGAAACTGAAACAAATAGAAGGTCTGGACCAGAGTATGCTGCCTCAGTATTGCGCAACCATCAAAAAGGTGATGTACACATTTACCTGCCAACTCAAAGTGGGCCTGAGCGTGTGCGGGGTGGGCTCCATGGACAATGAATGCTGCAGTTTTAGCTTCTGAAAGTTGGATTCTCTGTTGGAATAGGAACGCTCCAAATGGAAACATGATTCTTACTATTTTGTACCCTAAAATTGCCCTATTATTCCTGAGTTTATAAATGGATAAAAGAAAATAAAGTAGCTGTATCACAATGTTATTTTTTTTAACAGAGATATTTATTTTAAAAGAACTTTTATATGCCTTGAAACCACAAAGTTGAAAAAACAATGTTATTTTTTAAATGACCTAATGTAAGTCAAAATGCCATGGTGGGAAGAACAGAGCTCGGCGGAGCTTCGCAGTTAGAGACACGGCAACTCATGTCTCCGGAGCACAGCACAGAACCCTTCAAGGCTTTTTATGGTGTATTTGTTTATTGCATTATTTATTTGTGACTCAATAATTATCAGAATAAGCCACACTTGCTTCATTTTCCCCAGACTGTTACTTTCATGTCTTAATAGGACTTACGAGTATGTTCCATCTGATGAAACTCACTGGTCTGCTTTGTAAGACGAACACATTGGAGGAAGTTTCTTTCTTCCTAGGTCCTGTTCTTGCCCTTCTAGTAGCTACCGCAAAGTTGGACAGTGTTGCCCGGGATTCGGGAAGGCTTCCCATATTGTACAAGGCTGTGTCCCTGTTATAGTAGATACTTCTACTATGTATGCTTTTTATGCTTTTCCTAGCAGAGAACTACAGTGAACATTAATAACAAGCCTCTAATGTTCGCATACTTTAAAGAATGGCATCCGATAAGTTTTGAAAAGAATTATGAGCATGTATAGATACCATTTTACTAATCTCAACCTACGTTTAGGAAACAAAAGAACGTTTATGTCAGTTTCCTTACAGATGTGGTTAGTGCTTAGCCCTGTTTGCGAAAGCATCAAGCACTGCCTTTCCAAGGTGCAAACCTGACTCCTCCAGGCAGTTGGGGTAGTGTCAGGAAAGGGTGAGGCCTCCAGTTTGAATCCTGGGCAATTTTGTTTCCATTATGACAGCGTCTTCTTCCCACTCAGTTCTGCCTGCGCCCTGGCTTTGGAGGCCCATCTTAGCACCTGGTCTCTTAAGTGCGGCGAACTGCCTTGCGTTTCTGCAGCAGGACCTCTGTCACAGGCCTGCTGTGTACACTCATGTCTTCAGAATTATCCCGGAGACTGAACATTGCATCAGTTTTAAGCACAAGTATTCTATCATTTTACCACAGTTAACAAAGCCAGGTTTTGTATTGTGTAAAATCAGCAAGCCACCTATTATTAATAAATAAAATTCCATCTCTTCTCCTTTGGCAGAAATTAGAATTAGACCCAATAGTGACACAGTAATTTTTGGTGAATTTAATAAATTGGGGACTGAGTGGGTGGACATTCTTTATGGCCGAAGTTATCTAATGGAATTGATAAAGAGGCTTGTCGGAGTTTACTTCATTTAGAACTTTGTCTGTGACTGACAGACTTATAAGGACAGATGTCTTTGTCCCCTCCCAGGAGCTTCGTTCCTGTTCATATTTTACGAGACTAGAGGAGAAAAACTAATGGTTTTGTTTATTGCTCATGACAGAGTATAGGTAGTTTTGGAAATAGTTGGGAGGGCTAGCTCTGGGGTTGTTCCTGAAGAGTGACTTGTTTTACTTGCGTGACTAAGACACTTGGAAAAATACAGAGTAGCTGAAGAGTAGCTGATGTTCAAAGTAAGTTGGCTTATTATTTTAATACATAGGATAGTAACCTTGTTTAGGTCAGTATTTTCTAGTCTGTAATGACTTTCTTAGTACTAAATGTAAATGTACTTTTTAATCACTAATAATTGAGATATCTCCTGTTATGTTTGTCTTTATACTTGCCTTTATTTTTATTCAGGCAAACATAAATGGCCGTGTGTTAGCTCAGTGTAACATCGATGAACTGAAGAAAGAGATGAGTATGAACTTTGGGGACTGGCACCTTTTTAGAAGCACAGTAAGATATTTTATGTTTATAGAATTATTTATAATATTGTATGAGGCAAATGCTATCATTACTGGTCCAAACTGCTATTTTTCTGTATTTTTAAAAAACCTGTAACAAGTGCATTTTATACTTAAGTACAGCCCTTGTATATTATGTTATGCACAATGTACACAGCAGCACGTGGCAACCTTTTCTTTGGGTATTTCACCTGGAACCTTGGTAAAGAGGTGACCTGCCAATTCTCCATGCTTTCATTGATGAAGGCTTTCTCTTTGAACTGCCTCTAGTAGCCTCCCCAGGCCTCTAGGCCTCGACTTTGGTGTCTGTCCTTGTCAGGCCTGCATCACCCAGTTTTAACAAAGATCATGTTAAGTCAGTTTAGAAACAACCCCCCGCCCTCACTGTCTGATCATCCTTGGTCCCTGATCAAACTCTTCATTCCCCACCACCCCGGAGTTGATATCTGATCACCCTGGCCTGCCTTCAGCGAGAATCCTGTCAAGTTGGTTCAGCCAGAATTCCCCCTTAACCTTGATGTTTCCTCCTAGCAATTTTCTACCCAGAGACTCCCACCCCAAAGCTTGCTATAAATGCCCTCTCGTCCATGCTGCTTTCTGGATTGAGGCCCGTTCTATCCTGACGTCTCTTTCCCCCCACTGCAGTAGTTTCTGATCAGAATCTGCTTTTACCACATTAGCTACTCTCCAGCTTTGGTTCTCTTTGACACACTACAGTTGCATCCTGTTTCGTTCTCCAATTAAATTTTAAACTAAAGTAATAATAACGTAATGGTCAAATTAGAGTGTGCTATGTATATGATGGTTTTACCATTACTTCTTTTAGTATAATTGAAATGAAAGATAAGCAGATACATTTCAGATTCATTAGAAACTCAGAAGTCTGCTTTCTCATTTTCATTATAATAACTTTATAATGTTTTATTTTTAAAAATGATTTCTAAAACTTCTAAAATGTGATTTGTCAGTGTGGATATTAACGTTATTTTTTTTCTTCTGTTAAAGGTACTAGAAATGAGAAATGCGGAAAACCAAGTGGTCCCTGAAGACCCACGTTTACTTAGTGAAAACAACAGTGGCCCAGTTCCTCACGGCGAATCCGCTCGTCGCTCTTCACACAATGAATTGCCGCATACGGAGCTTTCCAGTCAAACTCCCTACACACTGAACTTCAGCTTCGAAGAACTAAATACACTTGGCCTAGATGAAGGTGCCCCACGTCACAGTAATCTAAGTTGGCAGGTATTTATTAAATGTCGTTTTTCATATTACCGAAGAGAAGTAGGGCAATTTTAATTCGCTGAGAATATGTTGGTGCGTTTATGTAGTCATTCGGAAAATACTTAATGAGTACTTCAGGGAACAAGACAGAGGGTTCCAAACCTATTCTTAAGGAACTGTATTTTTCTGAAGAGGACAGTGAGTAAAACAAAACAAAACAAAAGATAATTTTGGAAATGGGCAAGAACTGTCAAAGCAGTAAACTAGGGTAATGGCATGGAGAGGAAATGGGAACTGGACTGGTTTGGTTAGGCTGGTGAGAGTTCAGGCTTCACTTGCTGTTTTCTTGTTAAATTCATTCATCAGTGGCTAAGATACATCTGTACTGGAAAATTGCCACATACGTTATCCCTTTGAGCAGTGTAATCTGTAATCTGAGCAGTACCAATACCCCGTGTTCGTGGATATTCATTTTCTTTCTGTTGACTGATACCAGGTGTGGGTGAGTTTCTTCTTTGGATGTTCTTAGCAGACAAGAGCCAGAGGAGGATCAGGAATAAAGAGGAAAGTGAGAGACACATGAGAAAGAATAAGGAGGGAATAAGAAAAATAAACTAGGGGAAAATGGAGTAGGATGCAGAAAAGAGAGGAGATAAGCCAGGGAGGAAACGCAGTTAGTAGCTCCAGAGAAGTGGTGCTGACGGGAGCCGTGTTTAGGGAAAGCAGCCCCTGGCAGGTCTACCGTTTTTAAGGCAGTTGGGTTTGGTTTGGTACTAAAAACATTTTTTTGTCATTGTCATTATGTTTTTATATTATCAGGTGCCTTTTTCTTTATGTTGGGAAACTATTTTATAATTGGGTACTGACTGAGAAAAAATTCCCTTCTTTTATAAGAAGATAAGTTCACACTTGACCCTTTTGTCCCTGTGTTTCTGCAGTAGTGCTTCCCTTCTTTTCCCTGGGATTCCTTTTAGCATTCCATAAGAAATCTCTTCTCTGCTTTTCCACACTTGTATCTCCTCCCGTGACCTGGGAACTCCTAGCCTTCCCATTCATGCAACAGCTCTGCAATGGTCTTGTAATCTCAGTCCCCTTGTACTTTTAAAAATGACTGAAGACCCCAGAGGGCTTTTGCTTATGTAAATTTTATTCTGTATATTACATTAGAAATAAAAACTGAGAAACTTTAAAAATACTTACTAGTTTATTTAAAAATAAACCACTTACATGTTAACATAAATAGCATTTTTATGAGAAATGGGAATATCTTCCAAAACAAGACAAACTTTAGTGAAAATGGGATTGCTTTGCAAATCTCTTTGATGCCTGGCTTAATAGAAGGCAATCAGACTCCCCCCTCCCCCCATATCTGCTTCTGCATTAAATCTCTTGTGACCTCACACATCATGGAGCCTCTGGAAGCCCTGCTGGACACACTGGTGGGAACGAGAGTGAGAGGCACTGGCATCGTCCTGTGATTCTCTGATGAGAGATGAGACCTCTGGGGTCTCATGATGAGAATTGTTGAGACCTCTGGGGTACCCGAAGTGGTGTGTACACACTGCATTTGAGAGCGGAGAGGTCGCTCTCTGAAAAGTCCGAACCCACTCGCAGGAGACCTTCTCAAGGAGATGGGCCATTTTCTCCCCGTGGGAGGAAGACTCTGGGCCTTATTTCTGCTTCTTTGCTTCAGCCTTCACTATTATCCCTTTGTAGAATTCCTTTGTTGTTTTTCTTCCATTTCCCTTCTCTTTTTCCTAATCTGTATTCTTTACTCCTCCCTTATTAGCTTTTCTGAGATCTAAAGCAATTCAAATCCTAAAACTTCACATTGGAAATCAAACTTTTAAGAATACTTCATTTCTCTGTTTACTGGGACCTAACTGCTGGCCTCATGGCTTCCATTTCTGTTCATTTGGATCCTGTATTTGTCTTTTCTGTTGCTCCCTATACTTTATTCCTTTACAATTATTATTTTTGGCATTTAGAGTACATTTTCATACTGTTAAAATTTGACAGAAACATGTCCTACAAGTTGAGAAAGGTTCCTTTTTTTAAATTTCAAGGATATTTAGTGAATAATTCTTTTTTTTTATTTAAACTTTTTTAAAATTCCAGTTAGTTAACATACAGTGTAATTTAGTTTCAGGTGCACAATATAGTGATTCAGCACATCCATACAATAACCAGTGCTCATCGGAGAAAGGTTCTTTTTAACATACATTGAAGACTTGAGTATTTTGTTTTTGAGATATACCTTTAGTTTTCTTTGTCTTTTCTAAGAGGAGTTTTTGTATTTTATCAATGAAGGTGACTTTTGCCTTAAATAAAAGCTAAAAGTTTAAAATTATAAAAATAGGTGCTAAGATTATTTGTTAATATAACCTTTAATTATACCTTTAAATATTAATAATAAACTAACATTATTAAAATTTATATAAAGCTTTCTAATAACAGTGAAATTATCCATAAGATCACAGCTTTTTATTAAACTGTGTTATGTAGAATTCTTTTAAAAGAATTTGGTATTTTGAGGACTTTAAAAATTCCGAGTGTACATATATATTTCCTAAGTTGATATTTATTATGCCTTTTTTTTTTTTTTTTTGCTTATTTGAAATCTTAAATTTATTTTTTTCTGTCTTCACAGTCACAAACTCGCAGAACCCCAAGTCTTTCGAGTCTCAATTCCCAGGATTCCAGTATTGAAATTTCAAAGCTTACTGATAAGGTGCAGGCCGAGTATAGAGATGCCTATAGAGAATATATTGCTCAGATGTCTCAGTTAGAAGGGGGTGCAGGTTCCACAACAATTAGCGGCAGATCTTCTCCACATAGCACGTACTATATGGGTCAGAGTTCATCAGGGGGCTCCATTCACTCTAATCTAGAACCAGAGAAAGGGAAGGATAGTGAACCAAAGCAAGATGATGGAAGGAAGTCGTTCTTAATGAAGAGGGGAGATGTTATAGATTATTCGTCATCAGGGGTTTCCACTAATGATGCCTCACCCCTGGATCCCATCACGGAAGAAGATGAGAAGTCTGACCAGTCAGGCAGTAAGCTGCTCCCCGGCAAGAAGTCCTCAGAAAGGTCCAGCCTCTTCCAGACAGAGTTGAAGCTTAAGGGAGGTGGGCTGCGCTATCAAAAACTTCCAAGTGATGAGGATGAATCTGGGACAGAAGAGTCAGATAATACTCCACTGCTCAAAGATGATAAAGATAAAAAAGTGGAAGGGAAGGTAGAGAGAGTATCAAAGTCTCCAGAACACAGTGCTGAGCCGATCAGAACCTTCATTAAAGCCAAAGAGTATTTGTCAGATGCCCTCCTTGACAAAAAAGACTCATCTGATTCAGGAGTGAGATCCAGTGAAAGTTCTCCCAATCATTCTCTTCACAATGAAGGGGCTGATGATTCCCAGCTTGAAAAGGCGAATCTCATTGAGCTCGAAGATGATAGCCACAGTGGAAAACGGGGGATACCACATAGCCTGAGCGGCCTGCAAGATCCAATTATAGCTCGGATGTCCATTTGTTCTGAAGACAAGAAAAGCCCTTCCGAATGTAGCTTGATAGCCAGCAGTCCTGAAGAAAACTGGCCAGCGTGTCAGAAAGCCTACAACCTGAACCGAACACCCAGTACCGTGACTCTGAACAACAACAGTGCGCCAGCTAACAGATCCAATCAAAATTTTGATGAAATGGAAGGAACGAGGGAGACTTCCCAAGTCCTTCTGAGGCCTGGCTCCAGTTCCAACCCAACTGCAATTCAGAATGAAAACCTCAAAAGCATGACGCATAAGCGAAGCCAGCGTTCAAGTTACACAAGGCTCTCCAAGGATTCTTCAGAGCTCCATGCAGTGGCCTCTTCTGATAGTACAGGCTTTGGAGAGGAAAGAGAAAGCATTCTTTAAGAGAAATGAGCAAAGCAGAATAGTATTACCCTACCCCTGGGACAAAATTGACCCACATTTATAGTGAATCCATCCATGCATGCCGTCTTTGTACGCTTCATTCACAAATAATGAATGGGAAGGTCTTTGGTAAAAGAAGCATACACTATACACAGAGGAAAGTGTAAGAAGGGGCGATGGATCAGTCAGCCTCCACTGTCTTTGTAATTAGAAGCTTTAAAACTCACTATTGTTATTGGAACTTGCATTGGCACACAACCTCATAAAATTTTTTGAGACAAGATCTAAGTATAAAAATAGGTTAGAAATATCTTATTAGATAGAAAGGGCATGATTTGCCAAAGAAAATGGAAAGCTAGAGACCCCTTTTGGACAACATTCACTCATCAAATATTCAAAGAAAGACATGGTATTAGATGAACCAGAAGCAGATTTTGCTCTTCGAGGGTAAAATATAAGAACTTATATGTTATGGAGTAGCCCAGAGACTACTGTATAAATAGAGGACCAGTGTTGTATATAATAGACACATTGTTTAACAAGGGCTTTAAAAATTGATAAGAAGGTGAATGAACAGTGCTCAAAATAGAGACCCAGTGATGAGACCTTTCCGAGCTGCTAGGGGAGTGGCCCGTGGGGAGGGGCTGAGAACCTGCCTGGGACCTGGATACTGGCCTCCACGTCCCAGACGTGGCTCTCACCCCATCCACTAGCTTGAGAACCCACGCTGGTCTCTTCTGTGACTCTTTTAAGTCATGTACCCAACTTTTCTTAGCCTAGCAGTGAGAGGGAAAAACATGAATTCTTTCTCTGGACAATCAGGGAGACACAGGTAATAATAGGCTCTGATACTCATGGGTCAAGAGAATGAGGAGATAATTACATCAGAAAGGTCAGTGTCACTTGACAAAGACAAGGAAATATTTAATCAAGTAAAATTAAATTATGCCTTCTATACCAGTGTAGAGTATATCTATCTACTTCATCTTTTCCAAAACTAGCATGCTAACCCCAGGGGAGGACCGTAGAAAAGGATATACTTTAAGAAGTTTTAAGATGTCACAAAGCAAGGGTAAAAAGCAGATACAACTGGTGAGACTTTGCATTTATTCTTAGCAGGGTTAAGAGAATGACCACATTTAAGTATCATATGGACTAGAAGTGGACCCTGTCATCATGCATTGAATTTTTTTGTTGTTGTTTTAACATAGCCTATTTATGTAGAATTAATTTTGGCAATATATCCTCAGTCACAGATAAGATCGTAGATGGTGAGATCGTAGAATGTGCAATTACCCAAAGTTAGTGTTACATTTGTGATAGTTTTTACTTAATAGATTTTTATTAATACACTGAATAAATTATTTAGTTGACCAGTCATTGCGCTGAATAGTTGCTGTTTGGGGTTTCATTGTCTTGATGTTTGAGTATAATCTAACATTTCCTTAAAGTGTTTATTTTGCATGACTTTAACAAATGTTTTTAACCAATTTAAGGCAGGATGTTATTGACATTATATATTGAAATGTTAACATTTTAGTATTTATAGTGGTTTAGTTCACAGTATTGTATAATTAGTAATTATTTCAGAGGCAATATTTTGTTCTTTTTCCGGTGAGTAGATGCAGCTTAATATCATTGTCGTACATTCTTTACGCTGTTTGTGAAGTTAATACTAGAGTATTAAGTGTACAAATAGATTTAGAGAACAATAAAAAAATTGCATGTTATTCTGACTCATGAATTTTTATTCACTACAGTGATTCACATTTGAGTACAAATAAAAGAGTAATTTGTGTGTTTGTTTTGTCGTATGTGTGTACAGTTTGTGAAAGATGTTCAGGTTCATGGAGCAGTCGCACAACTGGCAGACGTGTGCTGAGCTGCCCCACTAGTCCTTTGGAGGGAACTTGGCTCCTCGGTCCCCGAGCCTGAACAGTGCTGTGGTGGGGTATTAGTGCCCGACAGCACGACACTCCACCAGGCATTTCTGTAGCTGCAGGAAGTAGCTCGTCCAGATCCTGGGAGGATATCAACTTAATTATTATATGAGCAGTATGGAAAAGTTTTCCTTCTCATACTGTTACAGAAATCGACAAGCCAGATGGCATATTGAGTCATACCGTCATCCCTTTGAATCTGTACGTCTATGTGTGTGTGTGTGTGTGTGTGTGTGTGTATCTATTTATACTGTATAGCTCAGTCTGGTCCTCACATATACGAAACTCTGCTTTAAGCTGGGTGGAACATGATAGAAAAGAAAATCGGTGCTTTAATCTTGCCAGTCCCTTCACTTCTGTGTCGCTTAGAGTTTTACCATATTTTATAAACCGTTCTGCCTTCACCGTAAGCCGTGGGTAGTTCTGTTCACGTAGCAGAACATTAAGCCCAGTCATTCACCTTGGACATGTGGAGTGGTGGGTAGGAGTACAGCCCTCCTGCAGGGGAGACTGGAAATGGAAGGAAGCTATTGACATCTCTCAATTGATACAATTTTCACAGTGCTGAGGGTGTAAGGTCAGCGCCCAAATTCTGGGAAATTTAACCATTTGTAACTGAAATCAACATTTCCAAAATTGATGGGAAAATCTGTTTTTGTGTTATATTTTATTATGTAAGTTTTAGCAGTCAATAATTTTAATTGCCTAACCAAGTAATTTTAGAAATTTATTTGCTAAAATTCTCAACTTGAGAACTCCTTAGATCATTTGCATGCTGTAGTGCTGCAGTAACATACATTTTAATCATGATTTTTTTTCTTACAAATACTAACCATTAGAAAATACTGTTTGAATGAAATTAAATTCTTTATTCTTCTGGCTAAAATACTAAACTTAAAAGGTTTTAAGACTACTTAATTTTTGGTTGCACCAGGAATTCTCAGCCTATTTAGAAGTATCCCCGAGGTCAAAAATCTCTGAATTCCTGGCTCACTCTTGAGTAAATCAACACAACTGCCCAGAAAAGAGGTCACTGTCCCCTTCACTTTGTGGATGAGTGACATTGAGGGAAAAGCAGGTAAAAGGGAAGGTGCGATAAAATTAACTTAGGCAAACACTTGAGACTGAACATCTTGGTTCCCTTATTCCCTACCTGCCCTTCTAGACTTACGCTGACACTTGGCAGAAGGGAAGAAGCAGGCGGGGAAACTTCTTGCTTGGGGTTACTGGTGAGGGCTATCTAGCCTGGGGCGGGCTATTTGAAATGATGGTATTTTTAATTTCCAGGTGGTGGTGCGCCTACCCTTCCCTACCCCATAATTTCAAGCATAGGCCATAATTATGAAAATTAATTGAAAAATAGAAATTTATATATAACAGTGAGCCCACACTGGATGGTCTTTTAATGGTTCAGCACTTCAGAAAGGTTGAGAATCCTTGGTTGAGACTGATTAACTAGAAAGAGAAGTTAAAATCTTACATAATTTTAAACCCTTTCATGTCTAGGAAGAAAATGCGGCCTTTGAAATAGATACATCTTCAGAGGATCCAATTTAAACTAAGGTATGTAAAAAATTAGTTTTCAAAGTCAACTAGTTTTTAAGCCAGTTGTTGGACACAATTTTCACCAATTAGAGAATTTGTATTCTTACCGCTTTAAGAAACAGAGTTAAGTAAGAACATCTAAAACCGTCGCTGGAAATGAACCACTTCACAGCCAAAGCTTTGTAAGTAAAATTACTAGTAAAGCACAGTCTTGGTTTACACCGTCCTGAGTCTGCTGTGCCCTGGTCCCTGGGGTGGCCGAAAGGTTTCACTGACTTGGCCTTACTTGAACTCAGAGCAGAGAACTTCCTAAATGGGACGTGGGTGTCTTGTATGATTAGCTCCACCCTGAATTTCCCATTACAGTGAGGCATTAAGAAAATAAAGGATTTTTAAGAATATAAAAGGGTCCTGGAGAAGAAAGAACAATTGGCTCTTAGTAGTACAACTCTTTAAAAAGCCCACGGAAATGTCGATGACTTGATCTCACTGGAGTGAGGAACAAAGTTGGCAGAAACGTGAGTTACACAGTGCCGTGGGGTAAAGGCGGTGTGACTGTTCCCGAGCACGCGGTATCCTGAATGTGTCCGGGCGGTGTCATCAGCTGTCATCTGGTTACGAGAACGCGCTTAAGTCCCGAACTTTCTGAGGCTGAGTATGGTTTTTGTAGTGCTATTTACACCAGCGATAGACATCAGGAGCCCTTGCTTAGTTTTGCCAGGACTTAACAAAATGTGAAATAATATATCAAACCGAATTATTAAAATTTGAATAAATGACATTTTACTCTTAAGAGTTACATGCGCCATATTCTTCAAATTAAGAAGCTGTTTGAAATAACTAAGATGGTCTTGATTACCCACTATCATTTTCTAATTTTAATATATATTTTATACTTCTTTACCTTGTTTTCTTTCAAGGCAACAAGGGCGCTAGGTCGTAGTACCCTGCCCACTAGACCATTTCTCGTGACAGTTTGGTTAGCTTCTCACGCTCGGCTTCCTCACCAAACCTAAGGGGGTCAAGAAGATACTACCTACCACTCGGTAACCTGCTGCCAGTTGCTGGAGAAGAGAAATGTTCACCTCTGCCAGTTTCCTTTCCTAGTGGTTGCAAAGTTTGAATTGGTTTTAATGAAGTTTTCTGTTTATGAAATTCTAGATGAAAGCCCAAATGCATAGCAAAAAGCATGTCAATGAACTCCGCATAACCCGGCATTTGTATCTTCTAGCATCTTCTTGGTCAAATATCTGATAAAAAGTTAGATTGTTATTTAAAAATTCCAGCTCCCGCTGCTAGCATGTGTTTCGGCCAGCATGTTTCTGAGAAGGCACACGCTGTATATTGTTCTCGTTAATGCACATTAAACTCTCTGTGTTCCTAAAAACGTTACTTTCTTTTTGAGTTCTTTGTGTTTTTCTTCCTCTACCTTTAACCTGACTTCTTTGGCTCCTTTTCATCTTACGTTTTCTTCTATTGTCATGTATTCATCCGCCTTTGCCTCGAAGCCTTCTTCAGACGGCAGAACGGGACGGAAGCTCCAGCAGCTTTTAGAGCGAACCTCGGACTCGGTTAGCGCGGGGACCTCGGGGCCGTCCTCGTCAGGCGAGGGGCCGAGGCCGCGGCGGACCGGGGCGCGCGGAGCCTGCGCCGCGGCCATGGCTGCGGGCCTGGGTCGCCCGGACGCCGCGGCTCTGCCTCTGCGCGGCGGGTCCGGCCCGCGCTCCGGCTGTCGCGTCACGCCCGCCCCCCTCCCTGTCTGGCCCCCGGAAGCTTTTCGGTCTGGGGCGCCGGGAGTCTGTCCGGACACTTACAACGACCCCCCGGGGCAGGGTCTCCCCAGCCCGTCCCGAGACGCGCCGTCGCTTCCAAGTGCCAGGCCCTGTGTCGCTCGGGGGTGTCTGTCACCCCCTCCTGCGCTCGAAGCCCGTCGGAACCTTGTGGGGACGCCCGTCGTCCAAGTTAGCGGAACTGCGGCGTCAACGCAGATGCTTCGTCTATGTTCACCTCAGGGCGTTGAAAGTATCTGCGGGTCGGACGGAGCGCGAGCGCGTCTCCTCGGGCCCGGGCTGCGGCGTGGCCAGGGGGACGCCCGCTGCGGGCCGCGCGACAGGCCGCTGTGCAGGCTCGGCCGGTCGGGCTCCGTCTCCAGCCTCTTCCGTCCGGGAGCCGCGCTCGCTCTTCCCGCCGACCGCCTCACGGCTCTGTCGCTTCTGTCGCGGCGTGTCCCCCGAGTCCGCCGGGAGCGAGCGTGTGGCTCCGCGCTCGGCCCCGAGGGTCTGCGGCGCGGCTGGGCCGCCGCGGGCCGCTCCGAAGTGTCGTTCGTGAGGCGGCCCGAGCTCGCCGACGGGCCCGCCTCGCCGCTCAGCGCGGGGCGAGTTCGCTCCTGGCTCCCGGCCGGGTCGCCGCCGTCCGAGCCGACGTGAGGACTCGGGCCCGCGCGCCTTCCTCCGCCGCCTCAGCGGGCGCCGCCGCGCGCGTTCCGGGCGGGCGGGAGCGGCCGGGGCGGGGGAGCGCGCCAGGGGGTGGCCCAGGCCCCTCGCTCCGACCCTGTGGGCCCCGCGGCGGCGCCGAGCGGCGGGGGCGGCTGCGGCGCTGGCACCCGGCCGCCCTGCGGGAAGAGCGAGCGTTCCGGGGCGCGCGGGAGCCCTCGCGGCGGGGACACCTGCCGGGCTTCCCTGCGGCGGACTCCGCGCCGCGACGGTCTGTTTTCCACCACAGCGGCCCCTGCTCCGGCCGCGTCGGTCTCACGTCTTACCCCGTGCGGGTTTCTCCGCGGGCGCCCGTCACGGCCGGACGCCCGCGAGAGGAGCGCTTCTCGGGCAGGCGGCTTCCGGCGAGCCCGCGCTTCCCCGCGCCGCCGAAACGGGCTTCGGGCGCGGCGCGGGCCGCGGGAGGGATCCGCCAGGTAAGCACGGGCGCCGCGGGCCGCGTCTCACTGCCCCGGAGCGCTCTTCGGTCCGTCCGGAGCCCGCCTGCCGCGCGGCCGCCCCCGGCTCGGCGAGGCCTCTTCCTCCTGCAGCGGGACCGGCGGCTCTCGGTCGCTTCTCCTCGCGGTGAGACGGGGCGGCGCGGGGTCCCGGGGCGCGCCTGGCCCCAGGCCGGGGGCTGCTGGTTCGGGTACAGGACCCCCCCCCCCCGGGACCACTGCTCCCCGGGAAAGAGCGCCCCGCCCCAGAGGTCGGCGGGACATTAGACCCCACGGCCGCGGCTTTGTCTTGAAACGAACTCGTCGTAGTCGAGCT